TACCATATTATTTTGCAAAGTACAACTGTGATAGTATTTTGATGTTCACTGAGCTTTGATAAATAACAAATCCCTTTTTAATCATTACAAATAATTGCGTATTGTGTAGGCTAGCCATCTAACTTCGTCTTCTCTTTGAGTCAGCTGGTGTGATGTTAGTGAATGTAAGATCAAATGGTACGTAATAGGTCGGAGAGTAATACTAGTTAAGACCAGTCTTGGGCATTTAACAGAGTCTGTTAATCATATGACGCGATAGTAAACCCAAACCGAGGTTAGGACCACAGCATCAATCAAACTGCCAAGTCACGGATATAACACTGACATTTATCTACGTTGACATCAATCATTTCTCTAACCACGTTAACAAACTGTTTAGGCCTACCTGAAATGTACATATATTTTTGTCATCCCTAGTTTCACACCAGATTTTTAGATAGCTCATCTATGTACAGGAGACATACCATACTTCCGGAACTGTACTTTGTAGTAATCCACTCTCTACCAATTTTTAAGCGGAGAGTTGAGAATTGATCTTTACTCGTTGTTTCCTACCAGAAAGGAATTCTATAATCCATACAAGTAGATTACCAGTGATTCCGAAGCTTTCCAGTTTAATGAGCGACCTGGAATGAGGTACCTTATCGAACATCTTTCTGAAGTCTATGCAAATGATATCTACAGGTACCTTCAGGCTTAACCCAAGTAAAAGGAACATCTGCGAAACCCATGTTGGGAACGGGACAATAGAGTCTTGCTTTTAGGTGGACCGTAATGGCTTTCTTGATTACTCTTTCTAGGATTTTAACTACACCACTAGTCAAGTTTATCGGTCTGTAATTTGATTGATGCTGCCTAGAACCTGCCTTGTAGATAGGTGTGACTATGGCGTCATATAGGAGTGTGCATTCACTGGGCTAGCTACATAGGGCAACAGACCTGGGTGCACCTCATCCGTTCCTGTTCCTATATTACAAGTACTTAATGTTCTAAATACATCATTGCATTTGATATCCACAGAGTTTATTCTGTGGGAAGTCGATGCTTCTACTGCAGAATTCGTTCTCGTCGAAGGTTCATGGGTGAAGCCCTCAGCAAAATACCCGGTCATCATCTCTGCTTTATCCTTACCGTTTTAATAAACTGGTTAGTTTTTGTCACTTAAATTAGGGTGAGAATACTACAATACAATTAATTCATATAGTTCATATGAGAAAACAGCCTCTTCAAGTGTCGTGCCAAACCCTCGGCAAGATGTGTCTCAAATCATCTTTCTTCTATTAATGACGTATGTACCTATTTCCTAGTTAGTGATATTATTCCCCACTAAGACTCTTACTCATGACCAAACGACAGATGGTTATCCACTAGGCCAGTGAGTCACGATAGTCACTCCTTATGTAACGAGAATAGTGTAGTTTTGGTGCTATAGCTTCTGAATCTCCGTCGTTGATTAGACCCAATTGTCGTTACTGTTGATTTCCACTCCATATTGTATGTGTGGTAGGACAATGATGGTACTGAGTGGTAGGAACCCAAAAACATCGAATGAACCCTGAATAGTGAATAATAATTTTGCGCCCTTAAACTCATGGTTTATAGAAGAGCGTTATGTGGTTCAATTCTGGTCTATATTTTTCAAGGTAATACTTGTAATTCCTGTCCCACCTCTGATAAATTTCCTCTTCTTATGAAGTAGACTTCGTCACCAAGACGCAAATTTAAACGAAGTATATGCAAATTATAAATTCAGAGTGTCTAGATGTAGCTATCCTGGTTACTCATAAAGCTGCTTTGTCACTGAATGTTTAAGGTTGTTTTTCCATTGATTTTAAGATCTTAGTCTTCAGCTGCACCAGGCTTACTGTTGTTATGTTAAGCCACACACAATTCATGTCTATCAGTGTACATATATTAGATTTCAAATGCTTCCTGTTGATGAATATCAGCAAGCATGAAACCAAGCTCTAGTTTTCCTTACCACTGAGTTCCAGCTATTCAAAATTTGATGAAGTAAATTTATTCATACAAGACCAAAATAAATGTGCCCTATAAGTATAGAACATCAGAAATCATTTCATTAGTCCATTCACAATTTGTTTTCATTGCTTTTTATGTATCATTTAAGCTGTATTAAATAATTCCTGTTTCTTGATTAGACTGTCTGAAAGTCTTAGTTGTCGAACTGGTCATGAGATAGGGAGACCTGATAATCAATCGAGTCTTGCCACTCTGCTGAATTAGTAGTAGGCTGATGAGTTATAGGCTGTTGATCTGAATCTTGTCCAACTCGAAGTAACCTTACAACTTCCGTTGTCACCAGTTTACTATGATATCTGTATTTCAGGTTGGAATTCATCATGAACTGGATAGCTGTTTCATCCGAGTGTGGGACTCCGCAGCAGTGCACACCTATGAACACGCATTAACACGCATCGAACCCAGGACCTTCAGGTCCCGTCACCAGCATGTTACCATTGAGTCGATGGGTCACAATCTAATAGTCCATACTTCCTACTTCTTTCAGTTCATGTCATAGCCCGACCTCCATTCAATGTGGTCGTTGAGTAACTGTCTTAATGTTCAACTTGTTTGACTCCACTGGTGGTGACTTCTGATTGGAAGTTGTGGAATCACTTCTCGAAGGTAGTCAGCAATGAGAGTTAGATAAATTGAATGTAGAGGTTTGTGGCGATTTATTAATTAGTTTCAGGTTGAAATCATGCTCATGTTCACACCAAGCAAAATATTATGCAGCATCATCCTGGAGACACTAAAAAATGCTCTTCATTCAAAATTATGACAGGAACAGGCTGGATGGATTCAGGAAGAACAAGTCATGTGTGGATCAAATTGCAACGTTACGCTTCGCGTCATCAGAGCATAGAATGACAATCATCTCTCTACCTCAACTTCATCATGTTTGAAAAGGCCGACGTTTGATAGCATCGACCAAGAAGTAATTTGAAAACTGCTTCAATACTACCCTTTTAGTACCACAAACCTTTATCAACCTCATTCAACACCAGCTATATGCTATATGGTGCTACATGCCAAGTGATTCACAATGGAAATCTCAATGGTGCCTTTGAAGTGAAGTGAAGACAGGAGTAAGACAAGACAAGGTTGTCGCCTATGATCACCAATCATCTTCCTCATTGTGGTCGACTGGACTGGACTGGACTGGATCATGCAATAAACCGTGAGGAGCTGTGAGATGATGGGCATACACTGCGTGATCTATGAATAGAGCCTAGAAGACTTGGATTTCGCCGATCATGATTTATGTCTATTATCTTGTGGCACATACTCGAAGATCTACAGGCAAAAACCAACAGGTTGACAGAAGAGACAAGCAGCGAAGACGGGACTTCCTTCACGTGAACGTAGAGAAGACAGAGGTGATGAAGATATACAACCAACTACAACAACACCAATAACAACAAGCACAAACCACCATCAATGGGATAAATCTAAACCAAATAGTCTCTTTCACCTAATTGCCTACGCAGCACCGTTTCAACTACAGGAGGCATCACATATGAGGACGTCAAAGCCAGTCAGGATCGGAAAGATAGCAAGACAGGCCTTCCTGCATTAATCTGAAATCAGTGTGGAGATCTACCCCACTACATTGCACTGCACTGTACTGCACTGGACTCAGCATAGAGTGTGAACGAGATCCGGATTTTCAACACTAATATCAGTCAAGTAAGTCAGTGCTTGTATGTGATGTTTGAGAGACTTGACGTGTTACGAAAAGCATTGGTAACAAACTGCAGACATACATTCATCAACAGCTGTCTACGCTCACTCGATACTGAAGATCAGATGGTCAGAATAATAAGAATAAGCAGAAAGGAACTGTGGCTGGCTGGCAACGAAGCAACCACGAACCCATCACCCAACAATTATGAAGAGGAAGAAAGTGGAGATGGATTGGATTGAACAAACACTGAGAAGACGGTTTGGGGACATCACGCGCAAGGTGAGGTCTAGCTTTCGAGTGGAGTCCAAATATTAAACCGTGAGTTGTGCATCCGTGTGAAGGGTGATATGGAAGAGATAGTTTGAGGAAGAAATGAAAGCTTGTGGGCAGTCATGAAGACAGGTTGAAAAGACTGGAGAGAAGAGAGTGAAATGGCGATGTGCTACTGAAGTCCTATGTTCCACTAGAAACCCAAAGGACAACTAATAATTATAGCAGTAGTAATGATAATGGACTGATATCAGTTGAAGAAACATCGTAAAATCCGTCGTAAAGTCAATGAATAAAGCTCCATAAACACTCAGATAGAATAATCTCTGTATTGTCGTGCTGATGTCTAATGTGTACCAACTATACCAATAGCTACCGATCATTTGTGTCCAATCAACAACAGAGAATCATAAGCTATGACATCAAAACTGTACCGCCTATCTAAAGTTTAAAAAATGAATCGATTATTAGATGATTTTTTCTTAATAGGGTTCAACTATGTTTTGGGATGTCTATTTGTTTGAACAATTTCTGAATACAGTGTATGACAATAACAGTTAACAATACAAGTTCTGAAGTAAAAAACCAAAAATAAGTTTTCTACAAATTTACGGTTAAAACTTATTAAAGTGTACTGATAAGCAAGTAACTTATATTACATGACCTCTGTCGACTACATCCAAATTTCATATCCGTACTGTACGTCTTAAATTGTGTGTACGCGCGTGTGCGTCTGTGTAATAATTGCGACTCAATAACTTTTTGTAGGCTCGATACTAGTGAATCAATCAATAATTGTATGATATTTAACGATACTATTGAGTTGTCTAAAGCTAGGTAAATAAAACAGGGTTCAAGCCTGTAACCTGCTGGCTATTAGTAGACGTTATAGACTAGTAAACCATAGATAGCTATACAATATATTTATTAAATTACATAATAATGCAGTGATATTATACACTTAACCTTTGTTCTTGTTTATATTGTCTTCGGTGTTTTCAAATAAATCCTTAATTTCAAGGGTTTCAAAATACTCCAAAGTTTGAAGGAGAAGAGCAAAGAAATCTCCGTGAAAATTGTTAACAATGGGATAGAAACAAACAATACTGATTTACAACTTTTATCAAAAAGTGGTGAGTTTATTTTTATGAGTATTCATGTATTCATATCAGAAAAGATAACTTTATTGATACAATCTAAACATGAAACATTATCTTGCAGCACAATATTTAAGATTAAAAGTGATGTTCAAAATGCGGATTTATTCCATGTCATTTAACATTGTAACCTGGCATTAGTGTATGACAGTAAACGTTACCACACCTCATATCACCACATCAATCGAGAATTCACCTATGTGGCATAAAAGAAGATGAGAGAAAAAGCAATCAAAAGTGGTAGAAAGTGATGAAGAGAAAACAAAGATAAATGAAGGAATAATGAAATTCAGTATGATGATTGATTAACATGTGGATGATGTGTGTAGATAAGTGGGCATCACTGACATGGATTGTGAGCGATATCACTCACATGTAGTGTACATCCACTGGTTTCTGTAGTGATGTGGAGACTAACGGGGAAGTCTATGTTCGCGGACACTGCACAGACTGACAGTGAACGACTTCATGAAGTGATGTTATGTTATGTTTTCATCTGGTCACCTGTAACCCACTTGCTTCATGAATCTACTTGAAGTATGATTGTCTGATGATGGATGGGGTGAGGTGAGGTGAGGTGAGGTGGTGATTGACTAGTATGCATATCACACACACACACACACACACACACACACACACACACACACACACATGGACACGGACAGGCTGGTCACCTGAGTAGTGGATGAAGATTCTCCACGTCATTGATGCATTCACTTGTGTGTTCTGCGTCAAGTTGTGTGCTTGACTTCTACATTGTTGACGTGTTGATACGCCGACACTCGATGTATGCTTCAGAGAGTAAAGTGTGTGGTGGTGTCGACCACCTGAATTCTGCTTATATTTTCCACCTTGAATATGACAGAATCGAGTGAACGATATCGCAGTCTAGTCGACCCGTGATGATAGGCAGTCGAATTTCATGGTGACGCCATGGTAACAAGTGGCGTGATTTAGTGAATTCCTATCTAGTTATTTGTATGCGTATTGAGATTTTGTTGTTGAGTGAGCCCTCAGGGTTGATTCGATTTCTGAGGTGGTAAAGTAAGCCGTTATGGCATCATTGAATCGATGGGTGTATATGTGAGTGTTGGCTGAGATCTAGTGGAACAGTGTTTTTGTTGACATGGCAATTAGCTTAATGGTGTATGTACACGCTTAAGACCGTAGGAGTTAGGCATTGAGATTCGAGTAACTGGAGGAGTGAATTCTAGAGATAGTGTATTTTGACGTAGTAAGGATTAGGGAATAATCGCAGTTGGGTCTTGCTTGTGTATTTTGCATGTACATTACATGTGTGTGTCTCCGTATGCTGAATGTTTTGTGGTCGACGGTTGTTAGCTGGTTGGAGGGATAGTATGGACATTGTTAGCGCCAATATATAATTTGGAGTGGGATCTCAGGAGGCTAACGACGCTTTTCTATGAATTCGAGTACTTTTAAAAACTGATGATTACCATTTGGTGATCTACATACAGTAGCCCTATAGACAATGATTTATAACCTGAATGGTTTAGTAACGGTGTTTTACTTCAGTACCGATTAGTAGGTTGGAATTTCAAGGTGGGAGGGAGGGCCATTTGTTTCCTTTCATGATAGCCAAAAATCATTAAACCCACTTTCGATGTTACCTACTGTTTGACTGTTAATACTCAAAAAGAATACTTATTTGACCCCAAGCGTTATAGTAATGTGATAAATTATTCTTAAAATTAAAGGTTATATACCTATAAACTTCGGGTGAGCTTTATCTTTTCATTAACAGTCATAACGTGACACTGTTTGGATAGCAGCGACTAAAAAAACAGTAAGTAGCAAATGAATATCATTTATTAGTATATTGGTAATATGAAGTCATGCGTTTTGTACATGAATCATGATTCTGTGGAGACATATACACGCACAAAGGAAAACACATTGTGCTAGATTAATGTTGCGTGGTTTCATTTCTTCAGTATCTTAAATTTTTCGTGAATAAGAAGTATTGTCCTAATGTATGTTACCCACTTATTTAAGGTGCTCAAGTTAAATGGCTTGATGTTAAACGACTTGTTGGACAGGGAATTTTGCATACGAAGTTATGGTCAGTTGATTCAGTACATGGTTATGTGGGTAGTGCAAATATGGACTGGAGATCAATAACAGAGGTTAGTATACATTATCATTCATATTACATTTCATATTTGTATATATGGTTTTCATTATGTCAACGTAAATCCTTACATAACAACATAGTTTTGATACTACTATGCGTAATCACAAAAGAGATCAAGGGTTTGTGTTGTACGGAGAACTGATCACAATAATGAGATGCCTTCCACTCTTATTGATGAAATTATAACTTATAACAATGAAAGAATGTGTAATTTGGAAAAAAAGATTTTGAGCAATTAGAACTCTAAATTGATTGGTCGCCGGAGGACAACCGATTTCACGTTGTCTAATCTTGAGTACTGACTGAATTATATGGATCATCTTACAACATAGTCACCAAGTGGTAACATGGCTGACTGAGACACTGGGTGATGCCGGCTGGAATCTCAGAGGGGACATCACTTCCCTCGAAGTTTTAGAAATACCTTGCTGACAAGTGCCAACAAACACAGAACCTAGGTACAGGTCTTCCTGTCGGTTACCTCCAACCAGCTCATTAGAACTCTGTGATGAATACGAGTGTCATGAGTGAAAACGTGCTTACCTCTGTAAAATCTCTGGGATTACTGATGCATATTAGGGATACGTATTTATTATGAACAAAGCTCTATTTTCCCGAAGAAACTTGCTGATAAGTCTTTTCACTTTGGGGTTTATGAGGATTTATTGATTTTAATTTTTGTATTCCCCATGGACTGACATCAGTTGGAGAAACATCGGAAGCCTAGGAGCACTGGATACTTGTTTCATCCTAGTATGAGGCTTTTCGGCAGTGCTCACCTATGACTCTGCCAGCTATCATGAACTGACAGAAATAGGAAATATAGACCCTTGGATTCCGACCCACTGGCTCAATGGCTACATGCTAGCCATGGAATCTGAAGGTCCTGGGTTTGAACCCTGGCAGAAAGAGGAGTCTGATACTAGGACGAAACATCTCTCCAGATAAATATTTTATTTACTGCTAAATATGTTTTCAATACACCTAGGTGAAAGAATTAGGTGTTCTGATCTATAACTGTCCAGATTTAATGAAAGATTTAGAAAAAATATGGAAAGTGTATTGGTTGCTCAGTGGGACAAATAGTACCATCCCTACAGCATGGCCAAAGGAACTGAATACTGTGTACAATAGAACAAATCCTATTATTACTGAAATTAATGGTGTTCAATCACGTGTCTTCTTCTCAGTAAGTCAAATAAATTTTTCTATGAATTTAGTGATATTATTTATACTTTATTGAACACCTTGAAAGTTATGGTGCTATTTGTTTAAATTTCCAAAAATTCTTATAGTTTCGTATACACGTAAACTTACAAAATGTCTTATCAGTTCAATTATAATGATAGTTTGACAGAAAAGGAATGCGGTAAAATTTAAAGTTATAATGAACATGTACAAAGGGAAATATGTAATCGAGTGATGTTTTACTACTGACAGAACTATTTAGTAGATTTTAAGATAGTGTTTCTTTTCTGATTTTATCTCTTCCTGATTTCAATTAGCATTTCTAAGGATTATGAACTCTTCCTACCCTGTAGGACTAATATTCATTAGATGTTAACAGGAAAGCAATAGAAGTAGTTTTAACCGCATTCATTCTCGAAGTAAATCACTACAATCATTTTCAACATACTTGAAGTTGAATGATAATAGCAAAATTTCACTTCATAGTACAGTTCCCGTTTTTTTACGGTGACTGGATCAGAATTGCAGTCCAGGTATCTATTCAATATTAACAATGGCATCCTGAAGTATCTACAATGTTAGAAAAACTTGGTTGAAAACCTCATTGATTCGAGCCAATTCGACGTCTGGCTGGCCATCGAATATTGCAGATCAGTAGATAGAACGATAAATCACTAATATGGGCGTCAATGATTTCAGTGTTATCAATTTAAATGTTTTCTTCAAACTTGAGATACTTGAACACTCATGACTTTGAACTATAGTGGCATCCAACCCTATACCTATAGATATCATGACGAGAATCTTTAGTCACTGGATAATAATCTAACTCACTTCAATCTTCTCGCATGTGAACATAAAATTTTATGATGAGATGGAAATAGTTCACATGGAATAATGAGACTTTTCATTGACATTATTTACCTATGTTCCTTCATATTTATGCCATTTACAACGGTTCAACAAACATGAAATTATATACGCAACAGTTTGTACGCATCTATTCAAATATCTGCTTTTAATTTTCTCCCTGAGATGGCAACTACATCATAGAGAGAAGTGTTCACACTTTTTCATCACCCTCAAAAATACTTACAGACATACAGACAGACAATACCAACATTGGACCTGGCTTAAATGTGTAACCTCATATCACCACATCAATCGAGAATTCACCTAGGTGGCATAAAAGAAGATGAGAGAAAAAGCAATCAAAAGTGGTAGAAAGTGATGAAGAGAAAACAAAGATAAATGAAGGAATAATGAAATTCAGCATGATGATTGATTAACATGTGGATGATGTGTGTAGATAAGTGGGCATCACTGACATGGATTGTGAGCGATATCACTCACATGTAGTGTACATCCACTGGTTTCTGTAGTGATGTGGAGACTAACGGGGAAGTCTATGTTCGCGGACACTGCACAGACTGACAGTGAACGACTTCATGAAGTGATGTTATGTTATGTTTTCATCTGGTCACCTGTAACCCACTTGCTTCATGAATCTACTTGAAGTATGATTGTCCGTTACCAAGAGCTGTAGATCTCGACGAAATTTGATTTGGCATAGTCTCATTGACTGACAGAAATGAAATTGATTTGAATGAAAAGATGTGGGAAGTGAATAATTATCTGATGGAACTTCAGTACTGTTAGAGTTTTGAGTGCCTCCCGCTTCTTTGGCGGTCTGCGTCTTGAAAAAGTATTTCTTCAGAAGATACTTGAGAAACTGGGGTTAGTGCTTGACCGTAGATAGATGGTAAAGATTCATTCAGTAATACATTGATGCCGAGTTAATTCGTATCTGTTACCTCAGGTTCGTCTTTATTTAGAAATGAAGCGTTTCTGATACACATACATCTTAAAATTCTTAAGTATACACACTTTTTTGTCATCGATTAATTGAAGAATGTTACTCTTTAGTTGTTATGAGTGATTGAGGACCGTACATAAATAAATTCGAAAGCCGCTAGCTAGTGTTTCTTTCTTCATGAAGTCCCCCTCGTTCATCTATTCACAGTTTTTATCGAAATGAATATTTATTGAATGGCGTATCAGATTTCCTATTTTCACATTTGATGGGTCATCCAGGAGCCATGTTTCATCTCATTTAGGATTCGTCAGCTGAATGTACCTGCACCGCAGTGAGTGACGTTGTTCTCACTAAGATTCGAACGGAGGACTAATCACTTCAACTGCCAAAGCGTTATTCATGAGGCCACCTAGTCACAATAGCCATTCCTTGTACGACGGGTAAAGTACAGTTTTGACTTTGTAGCTTGTGAATCTCGGCCGCTGATTGGACAGAATTGATCGGTCACTGTTTGGCATATTAGCTTCTGTGCAGATACGTAATGCGCGCACAGGAGCTTATATGTCAACAGTGGCCGATAAGTTTATAGTTGCCTACTTAATGTTTGAAGGAGAAATGATAATCACTAAACACTTATTAATAGCAAAAATATTTAACCAGCTATCTGTTCTCACAACGCTGAGGTTTCTGAGTTAGTTTTCCTGGTTAGAATGAAAAGTGAGAATAAAAAATTATGCTTTTCTACTCGTTCATTTATGATGTTAAGAATGTACCCTACTGATGACATGTAAATCAGGATGTGACAAGTGTTTAGTATTTTTTAAGTTTTAAATTTTTTCTCCATAAACTATCCAATTAACGTCTTAATTCATTCACATGAGTAACTTTTTCGTGTATTGTCATTGCCTTTCGTCGGTTGTTTAAGTTGAAGTACTTTCAATCACTAAGTTTTGAGTTAAAACCTACCTACTGCACAAACGTGCATATATTTACTGAGTCCCATTGCTTTTATGCGGTTCAAACCAAAAGTTGGACAACTTAGTCTGTTCGCCTTCAACCTTTTTCTAAACTTAACTTACTTTGACTTATAATTCTCTTCGGGGTAGATAGCTGCTAGGTATTTCTGTTTTTTGACATATTTTTAAGTCCCCGTTCGAATTGTTCGACTTGTGTTGCCATATGGACTCCTATGCGGTTGTCTTGATACTGCCTGAATATTTAATATTATTGTTATTATTATTTACTTGGTAAATACAATTAAATAATAATAATGATAATAAATTACAACTATATCTACAAATAGTAATAACTAATAACCGTTGTACAAGAGGTGGCTATCGTGCCTCAGTGGCCTAGTGGACAACGCTCTAGAGTTTGAAATGGCAAGCATGAGGTTTGAGTCTCAGTGGAAACAACATAACTCACTGAAGAGTAGGTATATCCAGCTGACGAGTCACAATTAGGACAAAACGCGCGTTCTAGACTCAGCTGCTAGCCACAACCAAGTAAAGTTGATAGGTCTCCCTATCACTAAGCCACCATGTAAACTAAGATTGTAATTTTTTTCCCCACACTACTACTATTGTTTCATATCTACTGCATTATTATTATTACTATTATTCTTTAAACAGAGTTCACCACTGCCATTCAATCCGCCAGGTCGAAATAATGATATAGATGCTTTACTATCAGTCATAAACAATGCAGAAAAGTTTGTTTATGTGTCAGTTATGGATTTTCTACCTGAAATTGAATTTTATAATCAAAAATTATATTCACAGTAAGTCTACCCAGCTTATATCATTGTAAAATGCTTTGATTGAATAAAACTGCACGCTTTTCCATAGAACCTTACATATTATACTGCGTTATCAATTACCAAGTAGACGGTCAGACAACTTTCCGATGTTTAAAGTATATGCCTAACAAAACACTAGTACATGATTGTTTAACAATGAGTAAAATAGAATCCAATTGATTATACTTGTGGCAACCAGTGACGTTGTTTCAAACTAATATTGGGGTAAGATAAGACTGATCAATTTTATCGTTTCTCGGAAATTCCATCCTTGGTGACATTCTCAAGGTGGCTTTGAAGCAGGTTCACAGTGTTGGTGTATATCTGTTATAAGGAGAAAGACTTCGAGTGAGCGGACGAGATTGTTTTACTCTGCAACAACATACAGGCTGATCAAGATGCACTTGGTCAGCTGGTGACCAGTCTATGCATGTGTTTGTATGTGGTTTGCACCAGCAAAGTGCTTTTACAAGATTGGTAGAAGGATGTACCTACAATTACTCTTCTTGGTCAAATGTTGGAAGTGACGAAAAGCTTGTGTAACCGCCTAATAATGTGAGTACTGAGAGAGTTGTGACTGACTAACGATATAGTGAAAGCGAGAATCGTACGTGTCTATCTGTGTAATGTTAACGTGGCTTTTAAAGGTCGATTGTACTATTAATTGGTGTGGGCAGTTTTACCATGCACTTGTTTTACCTGCCTTCTCCCGTCTAAAAGTATTACACAACTCTGCTTGTTCGATCTACGTTTTCTCCACAGGACTATGAGCAATATTTAAGCAATCCTGGGGTGAAACTTTGTGCGTTGCTGTGTAATGAGGATTGTCATTTATTGAATAAAGCTTATCATAAACCATTAGCTTTTATGACTTTGACGTGTTCTACGAATTTCGTCCCAGGAACTTCAGTGTTAGAGTATTCATGAATAGAGTATTCCCTGAATATCTGTAACTGGGTAACATTCCCCTTCACCACATGACAACTTCTCTATACGAGGTGATAGACAGTTACTCAGCTGTGTTTATTTTTGTCAAGCAATAACAGTTTAATTTTCATGATTGTGCGAGATGAATCCACGTTCATATATTTTAACGTCTTTCGTAAAATTCGGTCGTTACTGCTCAGAGGTAGAAGATCATTATCATGCAAGAATATTTTTCAAAGACTGGATATTCACTTTTAGGGTATCACCGGTGGACAGAGTCTTGTCATTCCACCGATCACATAGTGACACTAGTGACATTCTTAGAAATTTGTTTCCCGAAGTTCTAATGAGAAGCTGTGACCTGTGGGGTCAACCAAGTTGGATGAAGGGACAAATACTGACCTATGCCATTAAATGATAATGGTCGCGCTATATAGCGAATCGACAGAAGTAGAAAAATATGAACCATCGGATTTTGACTGAGTGACTGAATAGTAACGTGCTCGTCACATGATGTGACGGTTGTGAATTTGATCTGAGGCGGGGCCATGAATGAGCACTACTTGGAATTGCTATCTGATAAGTAGACTAAACAGTTTGTCAAGAAGTGAAACACTCAAGATATTCTTCGTGCAAATTACTACCATAGTTAGATTGACAGACAACGTACCAGTCATAAATGTTTTCACGCGTCTGTTTTTGTTCTCATTTACTGACATAGTGATTCAAGCTGCCTACGCTTTTAAGGCATTGTACATTTCTATGTATATTGCCATATGCTTTCGGGTCTTCTATATAAATACATATTCTACTTGTCTCAGTGTGTCTTTTTCACTAATTAACCGGGTCAGGAAGTCATCTAGGGAGTTGTAGAATGTTGATGACTGACAGTTAATATTTGTGCATCGATTAGCGACTATAACAATTGGTGCACTCCAGGATAATTACGAACAAAATAAATTAGGAGCTATAATACTATCCTAGGAAGTAGTAGTTGTCCAGTGCTCCCAGTTTTTCAACGGTTCTCCAACTGATGTCATTCTGTCATGAGTAATTTGTTGGAATTTGACAATTATCATGGAATAAATACCAATCATAATTTAAGCAACTCAGTAACCACATTAATATTCATCTGAGAACTCTATCAGCCAGATAAATTTCTGTATGAATAGCGCTACACAGTCGCATTTTAAGTAAGTCACCAATTCCAATTAGTAGTTAAATCTTTGCACAGCGGAGTCATCACAAAGCTTCTCCACACCATTCGAACAACACGAAGAGAAACAGTGGTTTTAAACGTCACCTTAGCGATTATTAAAATAACCTATTGTGCTTCTTTATTTCTACTGGAATTGGTAGGTCTTTTTTTATAAAATACAGAATTCTGATTGCTTACTTCAGTTGTGATCAAGGTGGTGTCAGCAGTTACACTGGTCGCGTATAATAGTCTGCATCGTGGTTGGGTTATCTCTACGTTTGTGAATGCAGACCCAACTAATCCTAGCAAATGGGATTAATGAAAAGGTGTAAACGTGTCTTAAGCAGACTAGAGTAAACGTTAGAGTCACAGTTTTTTGAGAAAGGTATTATCGACCTTGAAATCAGAAACATGCTGTCGCATCTTATGTAAGCTTATGATCAGCTAGATGAACATCCTGAAACTGTTTCTGCACCTTCTGTTTGCCAGTTAGACCAAGACGTTTCATGAAAGCCCACTTAAGGCGGTCACAAAAGTTTGGAGCAGCGTCACAGAGCACTTTAGAAACCTCTTCCGTAAGGCACTTCAGAAGACTGATAATAACTAAGCAGAAGTTAGTTTCTTGTGAGTTAATTCAACTTAAGAGGAAGTGAACTTTTGACATGGGTGAATGAAGCTGGTAGTCTGAGTGCTCAGAGAGTAGAAGGCTGTATCAAAATGACTATCTGAGCCAGAGAGTTATAATTTTCAGCCGTTTTTAAATTATAGGACAATACAAAAGTCATCATGACAAAAAAAGTGTAGAAGTTATGATCGTAAGTGCGAACTGATGAACAGTCCCATACTAGGACGAAACAGTTATCCAGTACTCCCAGGTTTGAAATGGTTCTCCGACTGAATTCAGTGTGTGATGAATACTACCTTGTAATAATTTGCAAGCATTCAATTCTGAATTACAGTGAAAATTAATCTCAGTTCCAATCGTCAGCATTCCAGTTGATCTTTCGCTGATTATCTATGTTCATTCAGTATGACTGAACTTCTTCAAATCTTGACCTATATATATATATATATATATATATATATATATATATATATATATATATATATCAACTATGGTTTGGCAAACTCATGACACCGAAGGCCGTTGGTTCAAATCCTGTAGCTAAGCAAATTTTCATCTCATCTTCAGTCATGCCTCAACATCATATCTTTTCTTTCAGTTTTGCTTATGTAAACCACAATAAACAGGTGTTAACTGATAAAGCGACGTGTATCTAGGTGGGTATTTCTGCGTGAGAATGTAATCTTAGTTACGTTCTAAATTATTTTAATAGGTTTTGTTTATTTGCATATACCATAGATTATATTATTTACTATTCCTAGTGGAACACAGGGCTTCACTAGCACATCTCCATTGCACTCTTCTCTCCAGTCTTTTGAACCTGTCTCCACGACTGCCCAGAATCTTCATTTCTTCCTCACACAATCTCCTCCATTTCACCCTCGGAAGTCCAATTGGTTGTTTCCCGTTTGCGTTACACTCAAAGGCCTGGCTGGCCTGGTGCGTGATGTCCCCGAACCGTCTTCTCAGTGTATGTTCAATACAATCCATCTCCACTTTCTCCTTCTGCATGTTTCTTGGGCGGTGGGTTCGTGGTTGGTTCGTTCCCAGTCAGCCACAGTTCCTTTCTGCTTATTCTTATTATTCTGACCATCTGATCTTCAGTATCGAGTGAGCGTAGACAGCTGTTGATGAATGTATGTCTGCAGTTTGTTACCAACGCTTTTCGTAACATGTCAAGTCTCTCAAACATCACATACAAGCACTGACTTACTTGATTGACATTAGTGTTGAAAATCCGGATCTCGTCCACACTCTATGCTGAGTCCAGTGCAGTGCAGTGCAGTGGAGTAGATCTCCACACTGATTTCAGATTAATGCAGGAAGGCCTGTCTTGCTATCTTTCCGATCCTGACTGGCTTTGACGTCCTCATATGTGATGCCTCCTGTAGTTGAAACGGTGCTGCGTAGGCAATTAGGTGAAAGAGACTATTTGGTTTAGATTTATCCCATTGATGGTGGTTTGTGCTTGTTGTTATTGGTGTTGTTGTAGTTGGTTGTATATCTTCATCACCTCTGCCTTCTCGACGTCCACCTGAGGGAAGTCCCATCTTCGCTGCTTGTCTCTTGTGTCAACTTGTTGGTTTTTGCCTGTAGATCTTCGAGTATGTGCCACAAGATAATAGACATAAATCATGATCGGCGAAATCCAAGTCTTCTAGGCTCTATTCATGGATCACGCAGAGTATGCCCATCATCTCACAGCTCCTCACGGTTTGTTGCATGATCCAGTCCAGTCGACCACAATGAGGAGGATGATCGGTGATCATAGGCGACAACCTTGTCTTCTCTTACTCCTGTCTTCACTTCACTTCACTTCAAAGGCCTCATTGAGGTTTCCATTGTGAATCACTTGGCATGTAGCACCATATAGCATATAGCTGGTGTTGAATGAGGTTGATAAAGGTTTGTGGTACTAAAAGGATAGTATTGAAGCAGTTTTCAAATTACTTCTTGGTCGATGCTATCGAACATCGGCCTTTTCAAACTTGATGAAGTTGAGGTAGAGAGATGATAGTCATTCTATGCTCTGTTTTATGATGATGCGTAGCAATATATTATAGATACCGGCTTCCAATTTACCCACCTTATAGTGATAATGCCACAGGCTTTTTATTGTTGTCTTTCCTATTAATAGTTTTTATTTCTTCGTCTTAATTTTGTCTTCTACAAGTTATCCTGGATAATGATTGTCTAGGACAATTTCAAATAGTATTCTTGCTGATGACTGGTAGTGTAATCCAATACGAGGATTTTATTCGATTACGGACTCCTTAGTTGGATGTATCTCCTGTAATAAGAAAAGTGATGGTGCCCTCATTAAGACTTGATGCCAGTAGAGATCAATCCAAATACTACAGCGTTCGCCACTAAGCCATTGTGTTCAGCGTTTATAAGTGTTGAGATTTTTTGGCACTTGTAATTTCTCCTCAACTATTCTATTCGACCAATCAATGAATGATTAACATTCTGAATAATATATTCATCTTTATGTATTGATGATCATTGCATGCAGTTTGATTTAAAGATATCCTAAAAAAAAGTTGGATTTACCTTTAACAAGGATGGTGGTCACATTCGATGGGATGTTCTTTCAGAAAAAAAAAACAACAAAGGCATACTTATAGGATTATCAATCTTACTGATAATAATGGCAAACTTATTTTTATAGTTCTAGGGGAAAATACTCCAAAAACATTGACATCTTCAATATAATGTACGATGCAAGTATATTTGTGATACTCATATGATACGGATTATATGATTCAATTCATACAAACAGTCAATTTAACCTCATTAAATCCATTGAATCCGTTGATATAGTTATTAATAAGGCTACATGAGGTAGCCATCAGTTAGAAAATTGGTATTTGTGCTATCAGATGATGATAATGATAAATAAAGGTGGAACAGAAATGTATATCACATCACAATTCTAATCAGCAGTCTCCAAGTTATCAACCTAGTGTTGTTCTACCAACTGACCTACTGGAGACAGCTGCTCATCACATCATGATTTCACTTCAGTTAGATATAGTTGATGGTAAAATTCCAAAAATAATGAAAAGGGTAAATGTGTAAATAAAAAAGTCAACCGTGGGTACCATCATCGGGGTAGTAATCTTACTCAAAATATTGCTAAAACATAACTTTTTTGAGTTGGGTAAAAGTATGTCTTATAAATTTATTTATAAAACTGCTTTATACATATATGGATGCATATGTATGTTAATGAATTTGAGTTATATCTGCATTTTTCACTAAAGGTTTTGGCCAGTTATTGATAATGCGTTACGTAAAGCTGCAATTGATCGATCTGTTGAAGTACGTTTACTAATTAGTCGATGGAGTCATTCATCACCAGCTATGCGTAACTATTTGAGTTCTTTAAGAGCGATAAATGGAGTACGATCTGCTCGAGTTCGTATTGTAAGTAAATATGAAGTAATATTTCTGTATTTCTGTCTGTTGAAACCAACTTTTTTAAAATAATATAATCCATATATTCTGCATTTAGTTACACAATCCGAATTATTATGTAACACGTGGATCAAGTGTCACTTGTTTTGTTATAGCTACCATGTGCGAGAAGATTCTACTTAAAACATAGACAAATAGGACATAAGAAGGAGCATCATTGTATATCGGTTCCAGATGATACATTTCACATCATATTGTGATGTAGGTCAAAAAGAGAAAAAAATCATGATATAAAAGTATCAATAGTTGTAAGGGGTCATAAGATAACAAGAAAAAGTGGTATAAACAATAATGTAGGATGATAAAATTTCGACAAAAGTGTGAAACACTGGCATCTATGCAAACATATGATAGAAAACGAAGGTCGATTCAGTGTATTTTACCCTTGTTACAAAGTGATGATTAGAGGTGAAATGATAATTAAGTTGCAGGAGTGTTCGAACAAGAGACCTCCAGATCACCACTTCAAGTGTGTGTCAGCTGGGATAACCTTGAAACCGTGCTATAAAAATCATCAGGAAACCCGATGAATGAAGTTTATACACTGTATTTCAAACCATATAGCTTTGCCGGAGATTGAATGTTTAACACCAACAAGGACTAGATGGTTGTTCTTCTGCACAAAACATTTTAAATATTCCGTCTAGACAGATACACATTTCCGGCAAATTCTCGTCAGGCTTTACAATTATATTTACAAATCACTTAGTATAGTAATTTGATACCATTATAAATAATAGAATAAGTACATAGATAGTATCAACATTAGACACTACGCTACTGATTAAAGGTTCTCATATCATCACATCAATCGAGAATTCACCTAGGTGGCATAAAAGAAGATAAGAGAAAAAGCAATCAAAAGTGGTAGAAAGTGATGAAGAGAAAACAAAGATAAATGAAGGAATAATGAAATTCAGCATGATGATTGATTAACATGTGGATGATGTGTGTAGATAAGTGGGCATCACTGACATGGATTGTGAGCGATATCACTCACATGTAGTGTACATCCACTGGTTTCTGTAGTGATGTGGAGACTAACGGGGAAGTCTATGTTCGCGGACACTGCACAGACTGACAGTGAACGACTTCATGAAGTGATGTTATGTTATGTTTTCATCTGGTCACCTGTAACCCACTTGCTTCATGAATCTACTTGAAGTATGATTGTCTGATGATGGATGGGGTGAGGTGAGGTGAGGTGAGGTGGTGATTGACTAGTATGCATATCACACACACACACACACACACACACACACACACACACACACACACACATGGACACGGACAGGCTGGTCACCTGAGTAGTGGATGAAGATTCTCCACGTCATTGATGCATTCACTTGTGTGTTCTGCGTCAAGTTGTGTGCTTGACTTCTACATTGTTGACGTGTTGATACGCCGACACTCGATGTATGCTTCAGAGAGTAAAGTGTGTGGTGGTGTCGACCACCTGAATTCTGCTTATATTTTCCACCTTGAATATGACAGAATCGAGTGAACGATATCGCAGTCTAGTCGACCCGTGATGATAGGCAGTCGAATTTCATGGTGACGCCATGGTAACAAGTGGCGTGATTTAGTGAATTCCTATCTAGTTATTTGTATGCGTATTGAGATTTTGTTGTTGAGTGAGCCCTCAGGGTTGATTCGATTTCTGAGGTGGTAAAGTAAGCCGTTATGGCATCATTGAATCGATGGGTGTATATGTGAGTGTTGGCTGAGATCTAGCTCTCACGTGTTTAAGCTATCTTTTCCATTTCTGCAGCCTTCAACACCTATTACTGCATATGTTCATTTTATACGCCTACTTCTTTGTAGTCTACACGTGAGTTGCTTCTTCTACTCATGTTGCTAGGAGCCTGCAGGCATACATTTGAGTGCATCTACTGATTCAGAAAAGGTCGTTAAGACTCAGCAACCTGTTTTATCCACTTTCCGAGGGTCAGCTACGGCCTTTAACTTTGTATTCGCAACTAACTGGAGACGAATGGCATCAGGTTTCATCTGACTGGGTGATGTCTTTTCGTTCTGATAACCTTCTTGCCAGTTGCTTGTTGAAATCAGCCTCAGTATTCTCATCTTTGGAGTGCATTCAGAATGGTCTTGGTGTTGTAGTTATGTTACGTTGATTTTGGTACAGACATAGATGTCAATGTAGCAACGTGTGATTGTTGTCCAATCGCGCACTGCATGAGGAGTGGTAATCTCCCACCAGCCCTCTCCAACAAGCAATAATTTACAGCAGTATGATGTATCTTTGTGGATCACTGAGTTGAGGTCGTTGGATGTGACGTTGGACAGTGTCTGTGTTGATGTCGAAAATTGTTTCTGTCCAGAAAAAAAGTGGTTGTTTGAACGGACTTGTAGCGGGCGGTTGACGTTATCTGTCCATTCACATGGGTTTCAGAAGAACTAGCCGTGTACCTTTCTGTCTCTTTAGCCTACTCACTTGTGCATTGGAATCACTTACTACGACAGCTACGTCTGAACGTTTGACTTTCTGTAGAAGGATAGATAGTTTTCACTGTAACTTGTCTTTCCCTTGATCCAAACTGTAGGCAGTGGGTGTAAGCAGAAAGTGCGAACAGACAGTCACGAATTTCACTACTACTTTTAGTCTTTGCTGCATCATCTAGTCAAAGGGTGCATACGCGATCGTCAACTTGGAGCCAGTGAAGTAGGCAGCGGTACGACAAAACTCACGACCTCACATCATAGGGTTGTATTGTGCACTACAATGGTCCTTGTCTTTTATCTGACTACTATCCAACAGACCTTTCTGATACAGTAGGACCTCAAGTGAATAAGTGTTCCACTAGCATAGCTTTCTGGGTCATTGTGATATGGAAGGGTGATCAAAATGTGAAGGGAAGGGCTTTCAGTTGGGTGTTTATTAGTATTGGGATTTCGAGGATGGCAATAACTGAGATTATTGTATCGTCGTAAGTGGATATTAAACTGTTTCAATTCTTAATCACTTATGAAACCAAGAATCTTATGTCTCCCGGTTGACGGTTTGACCGGTTGTTCTTGTCCTAACTTCCGTCTGGGTTTCCTATTGGATCCTATGATTAACAGATTGGATGAAATGCCTAACGCTGGTCCACCAGCTACTGCTTGTGCATTACTATTACAATCATTGACGCCACACCAGCTAGCTCAGAGAGAAGTTGAACTTAGCTGGCTAGCCCATATATTTCACAATTATTTGCATTTTGCAAAATATTTGAGAAGTGTACAAGGTCTGAAAGGTTAGATAGTCTAGGCAGGATGTCAAAAAAAGAGAACTCAGATAGATGCATAAAGGATTTTCTTTACTGCTTGGTTGTTGCTCTCATTCTTTCTGGCTACGAATATAATAAAGGGTGAAGTGTAAAATTGAAATTAAGGTGGTGTACAATAATGTAGATAATGTCAAGAATGCAAATACAGATGACATTCATTTACATGCGGGTGGTGTGTGGGGAAATTGTTATAATTCTATCTGGGTTGATGATGATGAAAGGGATAGAAGTGAATTTGAAGTCCACCCTAACAATTACTAAGGTAACCAATTACTGTCTTTCTAGACAGGATACCGAAAGGTGATTGGTTATTTCAGCGGTTCTGTACACCAAAAATTACTATTTCAACAGCTAAGCTGGGCAATCGGAGGTATGTAAATTTAGTATTGTGATGGTATTGTGTAGAACGGCAAATACTTAGGTGATGGAGAATATTTGTAGCTGATCATGTTGTCTAGAATGACAGCCAATGCTTCTTGATTAAACCATCGAGCTCAGAAAACGCACCATTATCATTATTCTGGTTACTACTCACTAGGTCTGCGAGTATTCAACTTTTGATAGTTTGTACTGTCACTTTATCTAGGCATGTCAAGCAGTTTTTTAATGAAGCCTTTGTAGGTTTACCCTACCGTTGTACCTATATCATTTTCTCTACAGAAAGAGTTAAATTTATAAATACACAAATATGGCCAGGACTTGAAAGTCTATCCTTCCAATTGCATTGGCATTATTCAGTGAGTAGTAAATTTCAAACTTAGTATTGGGGCATGGAAGGCTTTTTCTTTCAGTCTTCTGAGTTTCAGTTTCTAAGATTTTTCCAGTTGTATCTCTTTCAAACGCTAAAGTTACGTATAATTATACATAGTTTTTATTTGTGTAAGCCACAGCATGTTTGAAATGAAATAAATTCCAACCTTTTTCACCGACGTCTGATCTTAGCTTCTTCAGGGAAATAATCCAAATTAAAATATTAAGGATATGTGAATGAGTCGAACGACGTGCATGTAATCTTCTTGTTTAATCCTCCTAAAATATGATTACTAATCATTCAGTGTGAAATTATATGTCTCTTGTTGTATTCCTATTCTCCTTGATTGTAAATATCAGATAAAAAGGTCACAAGTGACATTGTAGCCATTCCCTGGTTTTTATAAGTACAGTAGCATATAGAACGTAGATTAGTATGTTAGTTCGCTTGGGATATAGAGATGAATGGTACTGATGAGCTTTTCATTAATTTATCTGGATACGGTGGAGATGAATGATAGTAATGATGGAGGTGATGATCACAAAAATGAATCATATCAATCCAGAATGTGTGTTGTTGCTGGTGCAAAATAATGAACTTGAGATTGGTGTTGAAGGTAAATGCTAGTCAGTCTTTCTGCTAACTGTACTCTATCTCCTCCTTTCAGACTGTCTGGATTTGGCCAAATATACAAGGCTTCAGCTGTCAATCTTCCTTGGTATTATCCAAAATCTTTTTGTAGAAGCTTAGTTCCGCCAAAGTTAATTTCGCGGCACATTTTCATGCAATGTAGCGCAACCACCGATTTTTTTGGTAGCTCTGCAACCTCTACTGAGGTTTTTTGGAATCTGCTTTTAGCATAGGCATAGTCTATGCACCTTCACTCTTACGTTTATCGGCAAATCCAGATAGTTTGAACAGACGAGATGGAGTACAGTTAGCTACCTTTTGGCGATTACTAAGTAGTAAGCAGAAATACCGACTGTAGATAAGAGAGTGAAATAGAGACGTGCTACTGAAGCCCTATATTCCACTAGGAACTCAAGGGACAAATAAATAAATAATAATAAACAGGAAGACCAACTCTAGCAGTTACCTGCATCATTATCATTCATCTCCACTCTATATCATCTCTATTTCCACCTTATTCGCCCCATTATACTTATAAAAATCACTGAATGACTACAATGTCACTTGAAATTTACTACTCGTCATATAATCCCAGTGCAAAGGAATTGCTACTTACTTGTCTAGACATTTGATCCTCATTCATAGAACTAGACATTTAAAACGCTATCAACTGCTTTAGCTTGAGCAATCACGTAATATTGTTGATTCCTAGTGAAATAGAAATCTGGTCAGCAGTTGAACCTCGTAGCTCGTTTGGTAGATCATAGCGTCGGAAACCCGGTGGCCGCTGGTTCAAATCCGGTCGTGGTCTAAATTTTCATAAGTCCCCGTCAATCATCACCCAGCATAAATACTAATCTGCCAAACTACGACTATCTCAGATAGTCAGATAATGATTCCTAGATAATAGATATACTCAGCAATGTAATACACTAAAATGTTGTGAAATCTTTTAAGTTGCTATTCATTATAGACTGAAATCAGTTTGAGGAACATTGGAAACCTGGAAGCACTGGACAGCTGTTTTGTTCTAGTATGGGACTCCTTGGCAGTGCACACTCTTGACTCCGCCCCACCAGGGATCGAACCCAGGGCCTTCAGGTTCCGTGGCCAGCATGTTACCATTGAGCCACTGGTTGGGAATCCAATGGTCCATATTTCCAACCTCTTCCAGTTCACAACATAGCGTGATCATCACTAAATGTCATCGTTGAGTATTTGTCCTCACGTCCACCAGGTTTTACCCATTTCTCACGAACACCAACTTGAAAAATCAATAAATCCCCACAAGCACCCAAATTTAATTGTTGGGAAGTCGTTTTCAACGTTTACCATGCAATACCGGTAGCAATACCTATACATGGTAGTCCCACTTACCATTTATAATTCTAAGGATCGATCATCCTGGGAACGTCAAATGATTATCCGTGCAAATTAAATCAGAGATATTTCATCGAATCATTCCAACTTTATTGGTTTTCCATTCTGGGAGGAAAAAGATTCGAAAAAGTTAAATTCCATTTTACTCGATTTATTAGATGTGAAACAGAATTATTTAATGGATCACGTTTCGGATACAAAACTTATTGTCCGTGGTCATAGTCAAGTTAACCCTGAAAACTGTACCCTCTCTAGACTCTTATAAACTTAAGGTTTTCGTAAATTTTGATGACTAATTTTTATTAACATGGACCGTGCAATTAGTAAATCATTTGCAAAAAGATCATCCTGTTTTAGGTATACTGATTGGTGGATGCAAGTCAGCTAGCCAGCCAGATTTACGTGATCTGAACTAATCCGAGTAGACGGCTGATGAGGTGGGTCATAGACAAGCGAAACGTCCGTCCTGTGTTTAGATCACTCTGATCTGGCTGATGAAATCCACAGAGTGATTTCTTAATTATACTAGGTGGTGATTCAAGGTGAGATGAAAGTCTGCACCGCGGCCGGATTCGAATCAGCGACCACCGGGTTTAACAGCTGTACTGTACTTGTTTAAAAATTGCCTGAATTTAATCTTGAATTGTATCAAAACTTGGATCAGTTTTTATACTATTCTGGATTCATATTGGAAATTGAAGTTTGTTTGTTTACAATAATTTTACCGCCAGTAAAATCCTTTTCCTTTCTCTTTTTGTACGTTTCTACAGCGTAATTTTGTTGTTCCATCGTATACTGAAGCACAGAAGAGAATACCATTCGCTCGTGTAAACCACAATAAATACATGGTAACTGATAAGACAGCCTATATCGGTAAGTATTTCCCAATGCAAAAGTAAACATAGCTATGACTCTCAAGGAAGAGGTATGTAGCTACTTAAAAATGTTTGTATTATTTATAATGAACATTTCGGGGGTATCGAAACATCTGTATAGGAGCTCATATACCCATGGTGGTCGATCGATTGTGTCCAATCAGTGATGGAAACGTACAAGTTAAAGCATCATAAGTAGTGAGTATCGTGACTCAGTGACCTAGTGGATAACACTCTGGCGTTTGAAGCAATCAGTTCTGGATTCGAGTCCCAGGGGGAACAACATCACTCGCCAGAAGGCAGGTACATCTAGCTGACTAGTGGATCCCAAAATAACATGAAACACACGTCCTGGATTCCACTGCTAGCCGCTAATCATCACTGATATCAGAATGATTGTAAAGTTTTTCTCCTTAATGATGATTTTGTACTTGACTGACCAAATATCTGTTCAAAATTCGTATAAGGACATATATTCAAAAGAAACTTATTCGTATGATGTCAACCTATAGTCAAACGCGTTTCAAGATAGTGGTAAGTGGAGTTTCTACTACACCTTCATATTAGTTGAATATACACTATCGACAACAGAGTAGTGGAGAATGATCTCGTCCATCATATTACTCAATCGATTGGCTTAAAATTAACTCTCGACTCACATTGACGACTGACTTGAGAACAGCACTTTTTGGAATCACTAAAAATTCAAGACTTTTGAATTTGATGGTTAAATACTTTACAATAGCGATAATATGCATACATAGACTGAGGGTTTATTGAAACTGAAAGATGTCAGTCGTTAAAATTACTTTTCAAGGGTCAGTAGGTGATTTTTGCATTGGTATCAGCATTGTGTATACTGTGGATGTGCATCGATTGATCTGTACTGGGTTACTTTGTGACTGACTATTCAATATTCACGAAAGCTAACTACTCAGCTTTTCATTGGCTTTATTCGAGGTGTGGCTTATTGGTTTGGTCAGTTGGTTTTCCATCAGTGGGCTATAGGTCCGAACCCCGCCCCAACTACCTAGGTTTAGGGAGTGAGGTAGTATCATAAGCCCTCACACAATGGGCTTGACTCACCACTTTCTTCATGAATGTGCACAAAGTTCTTGAGTGTATCTTGATTTCCATCAAATTTCATTGGATTCAGAAATGAATTACTTTACACTTAAAAGAAAACTATGCCGACAAACTAATAGTGTAGCTATGGAATTACTGGTTTCACGTATAGTAGCTAACATATTTATGAGTAAATTCGAAGAAAGTGTCTTCTCACACTTACCAAAGATGAAAATTTGGCTAAGGTTTGTTGATGACACATTCGTAGTTCCAAAACATAACTTATACCCAGGCATTCTTAGATAAGCTGAACTCTAGATCTCCCAGTATCAAACTCAGTTCAGAAAAAGAAACGTATAATCGTGAACTTCCCTCCCTTGATTGTCTTGTTAAGCGGGAAAAAGTGGATATTTCGATATGGCGATCTTCAGCAAAGCAACGCATTCGAACAAATATTTAGATTGCAATTCACCTCATCCAGTCGGTGCGAAAGTTTTTGTCACCTTCAGTCCTTTAAGGAGAGTACACACTCTAATAACGGATAAAAATGAAAGAGTTAGGGAACTAAAATGTATGAAGAAGGTTTCGGAAATTCATTTGAAAAGTAGAAAATAATATTAAATTGGACTGTAAAAGTACTTCTAAATCATGGACCTCAACAATAGTCATCCCATACAGATCACATACCTTGGATGAAATTGTACAAGAGATGACTATCGTACTACAGTGGCTTAGTGGATAATGTCTTGGCGTTTGGAACGATGTATAAGAGGTTCGAGTCTCGGTGGGAACAACATCACTCACTGGGGTGCAGATGCATCCAGCTGACCAGTGAATCTCAAATAAGACGAAACACGCGTCCTGGATTCTCCTGCTAGTCACCAAAATCAATATGGGATCAAAATTGTCTAAAAAGGAAGGGATGAGGGAGTAAAACGTAGTTCGACCACGTCTCAACCTACCCCGGCGTACTGACATAACTAACACATACGTGATAAGAACTATCGACACATGTGTACATACAAATCTCAATCTGTAATTCATATACTCTTCACACACGACACACTACATACGGATATCATCTTTATTTTACACTTCTGAAAACAGACAATCATTCATGCAGAAGAACACTTGGCAAGTTATCATATTGGCTTGGATATTGTAAATTCCAGTTTACTATAACTTTGATAAAGCTATTAGCATTAAATAGCGAAACGTCAATTTAAACAAATTTATTTTACATTTATCAGGAAATAAAAATACCAAAATAATGAATACTGAGCTTTTTTTTTGAGCAATAACGATTTCTGTTGCCTCAGTATAAACTGATATCGAAGCATAAAGTTAAACAGTCACTAACTTACTATTGTGTTTAATTCCACTGTGAAGTTAAGTTCTAGATAGGTGGATTTACCTAGGGAATTTAAAATACTCTGACTCCATTCCACTAGTCCATATAGGTTCCAGGATCCGGAAAAGATGAATGACATTATGAATCTACCATAGTCTGTGCATTCTGTTAGAATACAAATCTTATATCATGTGAATTCGAATTCACAGATGTTTTCAAAGCATAAGGTCTCAACTTTGTATCTACCCATATTTGGTGTTTTTTTATTTTCATTTCGTTAAGCTACTTGTCATTGTTTGAAGTTCTGGTCTACTTGTACTATTTCGGGTTGCTAAATAGTCAGTATCATAAAGTTGTCCTTCATTATGATACCTAATGCATGTCTTCTAGAAGCATGGACACCTTATAAACCTGCCGATCTTCAACGTTGGTACCTTTATCCAGACTGGACAATATACAGTTTTGACCCAGTAATTTCTTGTCATGAATATATACTATATTGCAAATGCTCATAAATATGAAAAATTAAAGATTTCAGATAAGTATTTGTCTAGAAAGTCTAGGACTGTGTTTCATGTACATCTATCTAACTATGACGTCGGTGTTATAATAAACATAAGAGTAAAGACTGTTCTATTCAAATTAATTCTTACTAACAACGTCGCATACTTATTGTTAACTTAAAATTTTTATTTTGAACTAGAAGTGGAATGTAGTGGAAACGGTATTTTACTTATCAATCCATATATTTTAATGGATTGTAGTCAGAATACAATGAAAGATGATTTCTATCACAAATTAAGCTTACTTAGTAGATACCTTAGGGTTGTTAACTGAAGACTTATATTATCATATTGAGTATTTATGCTCACGGAGGATATTTGCCTGCAACTGGCATAATATCGATCTGTTTTTACAGCTTTCTACAGTTCGAAATCGATTCCTATCATTATTATTTTTTCCCTTGGGTTCCTAGTGGAACATAGGGCTCCATTACCACGCCTCCATTTCACTCTGTTCTCTCCAGTCTTTCACACCTACCGCCTCCACCACTGCCCAGAAACCTTCATTTCTTCCTCGCACAATCTCTTCCATGTCACCTTCACCTCGGATGCCCAACTCGTCATTTCCCATTTGGGTTACACTTGAGGACCTCGAGCATGATGTCCCCTAGTGGTCTTCTCAGTATGCATCTAATACAATCCATCTCCACTTTCTCCTTCTGTATATTTCTTGGGCGATGGGTTCGTGGTTGCTTCGTTGCCAGTCAGCCACAGTTCCTTTCTGCTTATTCTTATTATTCTGACCATCTGATCTTCAGTGTCGAGTGAGCTTAGACAGCTGTTGATGATGTATGTCTGCAGTTTGTTACCAATGCTTTTCGTAACGTGCCAAGTCTCTCAACCGTCACATGGAAGCACTTACTTACTTCACTCAGTTAGTGTTGACAATCCGGATATTGTTCACGCTTTATGCTGAGTCCAGTGCAGTACAGTGCAGTGGGGTAGATCTCCACACTGATTTCAGATTAATACAGGAAGGTCTGTCTTGTTGTCTTTCCGACCCTGGCTGGCTTTGACGTCCTCGTCTGTGCCTGTGCCGCTGGTAGTTGAAACGATGTTGCCTAGGTTGGTGAAAGATACTACTTCATTTAGGTTTCTTCAGTTAATGATGATTGGTGCTTGTTGTTGATGCAGTTGTTGGTTGGGTATCTTCATCACCTCTGTCTTCTCTACGTTCACTTGAAGTCCCGTCTTCGCTTTCTTCCCTGTTGTGCCAACTTGTTAGTTTTCACCTGTAGATCTTCGAGTTTGTGCGACAATACATTAGACATAAATCATCGGCGAAAAATCTATTCCTGGTCAGTCTTATTTTCCAATACAGTCATGAACTCTGAGAAACTTGATATCTCTCTTCTACTACTCAATCTTGGAATCAAAGAGGACATTACAATTATTTACTGATGATAGGAGTGTATTTAATACTTCCGTTTCTTCTAGATCAAGTCTTTGAACTCTGATCACTCTTTATGTAATAAGTTAATCTTGAGGTTTGATGGTCATCAAAAGGGATTGCGTTAACAAGGTTAGCGTCAACAAATTGAAACTAAATATCAAACTACCTTACATCAAGAAAGTCTTGATAAACACTGATCATATCCGCAAGATGTGAAGGGAATGGAGAATGTATCAACCGTAGGCAATATGTGAGAGTTATTTAGACTTACAAAGCATATTGACACAAAAAACTGTATAGTCAATAAAACAGTCTCCATAAAGAATATGCACGTGATAACTTCTAAAGACAGATTGCTGAAGGATTGGACAGAGCCATTTTAAAGAACACTTCAACTGGTTTATAGGCTTGCCTAATTACTCAAAATCAAACCTCATCCTGGATGGATTGTAGATATGGGTCCTCCAACTCTTTCCAAAGTTCAGAAGGATGTTTCAAACGTGAAAGGACACAAAGCGAAGGAAAATAATGGTTCATCACCAGAAGAATAAAGATAGAAATAACCGAGTAGAATGACTGATGTGCGAACTTGTGTATGGGAATTAGAGGCAGTTCTGTTGGGTTTT